CCCGCCTGCTCGTCCTGACCGCCTGGGCCCGCCTTCCCGATCCGCCCGCTAGGGTCTGCCCGAACGATCTGCCCGTCCCGTTCTGCCACATGTTTTCTGCTTCCAGCCCCCCCCCTGCTGAATTCTCTCGTGCTCCATCCTTCTCCCTCCCCCTTCGTCCGTCCTCACTTCTCCTGTTTTAGTGGCTGCGCTAAACGCACGTGGCTGGTGTGGAAGATATACCCCGAAAGGGGGGCCGATCGAAGACGCAGAGGGCGGGTATCGAGGGTTTCGGATATACGTGTTGAATGACACGCGAGCAGATAGGAGCGAACAGTCTTAAAATGGTTGTTGTTGTTGCTGTTGTTGCTGGCGTTGTTTTTGTTGTTGTTGTCATTGTTGTTGTCGTTGTTGTTGTGATTGTTGTTGTTGTTGTGGTTGTGGTTGTGGTTGTGATTGTTTTTGTTGTTGTAGTTGTTGTTGTTGTTGTTGTTGTTGTTGTTGTTGTTGTTGTTGTCGTGGTGGTTGTTGTGGTTGTTGTTGTTCTTGTTGATGATGTTGTTGTTGCTGCTGCTGTTGTTGTTATTGTTGTTGTGAGGTTTATCGTTATTGTTGTGGTTGTCGTTGTTGTTATTGTTGTTGCTGCCGCTGCTGTTGTTGTTGTTGTTGTTGTTGCTTTTGTTGTTGTCGTTGTTATTGATGCTGTTGTTGTTGTTGTTGTTGTTGTTGCTGTTGTTGTTATTGTTGTTGTTGTTGTTGTGGTCGTCGTCGTCGTCGTTGTTGTTGGTGTTGTTGGATTCTCCTTTGAAGAGTATTTGTTGTTGATCGCCCTCTGGTAATCATTCTATATTTTCAATTGAAGTACCCCCCTCGGGGCTCGCACCCTGTCTTTTATCAGGGAAAGCTTAGTGCCACTGGGCTGTTGGGCCCCGAACTACAACAGCAACGGTTCCTGCCTGATACTTCCTCACAAACTATTCCCAAATCGCGCTCTCGCCCGGGACTTCTTCACAATTGATACCAGAATCGTTTTTTCGCTTGGGACGTCCTCACAATTTACTCAGACGCCGCGCCCTCGACACTCTGGAATAACGCTCTCGCTATGGATTTCCTCATGATTTGTTTCGCGATTCATGCCGTACTCATGTTTCGTCAACACGCCTTTTCGACCTGGCCGCTTGGGCCCGCCTTCCCGACCCGCCCGTTAGGGTCTACCTGCCCGATGGACCCGTCTGGTTCTGCCACGTGTTTTCTGCTCCAAGCCCCCCTGCTGCTGCTAATCCCTTGCTCCATCCTTCTCCCTCCCCCTTCCATGCGTCCCCTCCTCTGTTTCAGGGGCTGCACCAATTACACGCGGCAGGTCAGGAAGATATACCCCCAGAGGGGGTACGATCGAAGACGAAGAGGGCGGATACCGATGGTTTGGGATATACGGTTTGAATGGCACGCGAGCAGGTCAGAGCGAACAGTCTCAAAGTGATTCCTATTAGTTATCATTAGCGTTGTTGTTCTTGTTGTTGTTGTTGCTGTTGAGTTCTTCTTTCTGGAGAATAAGTATAGTTGATCCCCCCTCCAGTAACCATTGTATTGTTTTAATTAAAATACTTTTCCCGGGGCTCGCGCTCTTGTTACAAGGGAAAGTGAGGGGTCACCAACCTGTGTTATTGAGCGCCAGTTTGCAACAACAACGGCTCTGCCTGATATTTCCTCGCGAACTATTCCCACATCGCGCTCTCGCGCGGGACTTCCTCACAATTGATACCAGAATCGCACTTTCGCTTGGGAAGTCCTTACAGTTTATTCAGACGCCGCGCCCTCGACACTCAGGAATAACACTCTCGCTATAGATTTCCTCACGATTTATTTGGAAATCGCGCTATCGCTCGAGACATCCTCGCGATTCATGCAGGACGCACGCTTCAGCAACCCGCCTGCCCCTTGCCCGTTCTTTCCATCTGTCCTCCCTTCCCCTGCCTAAGGGGCTGCACTAAATACACGTGCAGGTAAGGAATCGAAGAGGGCGGGTATCGAGGGTTTGGGATATACGTGTTGAATGGCACGAGAGCAGATCGGAGCGAGCAGTCTTAAATTCATTACAGTTGTTGTTGCTGTCGTTGTTGTTGCGCTTGTTGTTGATTTCCCATTCTTGAAGAAGTCTAATTCTTGTTGATCTCCCCCCGCCGGAGCCAATTGTTTTTTTTCAATTGAGGTGCCCCCTCCTCATGTTTTGCCTTCTGTTTTTCCCAACCATCCTGTGGTGTTGGGTCCTCGTTTTGAAGAGAGCGCCCCGCGTCTCCTCTCTTCTCCTCCTCGCTCCCCTTCCTCCTCCGATTCCTGCCTGTGCCCTCCAACCACAACCAGTTTGGTACACCCCCCACACGCTTCGTGGCTCCATATGGAGCCCCACCGAAGGCCCAAATGCCAGCGTTCGCATGGAGCCACCGCACCCAGTTTGGCACACCCCTCACACGTTTCGTGGCCCCACAGAGGACCCCGCCGAATGCTCAAATGCCAGCGTTCGCATGCGCCCACCGCACCCGTTTTGGCACACCTCTCACACGTTTGCTGGCCCCAATGGGAGCTCCACCGAATGCGGTGCACACAACGAAGGAATTCACAACTGCATATGGTTAGGTCCTTCGCCAGGCTAATTTTAGTTTGGGAAATTCTTCATGCTGAAACTGTGTTGTTGCCCCCCCAGCTACAATAAGAACGGCTCCCGCCTGAGTGTTTCGGATATATGTGTCGAAGTGCACGCGATTGGATAGGAGCGAACAGTTAAAAAATGATGGTCATACTAGTAGTTGTTGTGGTTGTGATTGTTGTGGTTGTTGTTGTTTTTGTTGTTGCTGTCGTCGTCGTCGTTGCTGTGGTTGTTGTGGTTTTTATGGTTGCTGCTGTTGTTGATACTGATGTTGTTGCCGTTGTGGATGATTATGATGATGGTGTTGATGACGACGATGATGATGACGATGGTGACGATGGTGGTACTTATGATGACGACTATGATGATGATGATGATGATTGTGATTCTGTTGAAGACGATGATGACGATGAACATGGTAATGGCATTGATGATGATGGGTATGATGATGTTATGGTGATGACGATGATGATGGTGATAATACTCATACTCATAGTATTACGGATGATCATACTAACAACACTGCTACAATTATTGTAAGCAGCCAAGATTCTCAGGAGAAAAATAGCAGCAATAATACGACTAACAGTAATAACACCTATAATAATGATGATGCTGATGCTGATGCTGATAATGATCATGCTGTTGCTGATAATGATGGTGATGACGATTACGATCATGATGCTGATGATGATGACGATAATGACGATGATGAAGATGGTGGTGCTGGTGATGATGCTGATGCTGATGAGGATGATTGTGATGATGATGAGGATGATTCTGAATATGGCTATGGATATGAACATGATGACGATTCTGACGATGCTGATGCTGATTATGATGCTGCTGCTGCTGCTGATGATGTTGATGAATCTGATGAGGATGAGGATGAGGATGCTGCTGGTGATGATGATGGTAATGATGCTGATGATGATGATGCTGACTCTGATGCTGATGCTTATGCTGATGACAATGATGATGCTGATGATGATAATGATGCTGATGACGATGATTTGGATGATGATGATGATGCTGACGACGACGGCGACGACGATGATGATCATAATTTTGCTGGTGATCATGACGATGATGATGACGATGATGATGATGAGGATGATGATCAGGACGATGATCAGGATGATGATGATGCTGCTGCTGATGATGATGGTGATACTAATGATGATGACGATGATGATGCTGATGCTGATGCTGATGATGATGATGATGATGATGATGCTGATCGTGGTTGTGGTGGTGGTGGCGTTGGTGTTGGTGATGCTGGTGATGATGATGTTGATGCTGCTGCTGATGATGATGATGATGATGAAGAAGATCAGGTGGGGGGGAGAAGGAGAAGAGGGAGGAGGAGGAGAATGAGGAGGAGGAGGACGAGGAAGAGGATGAGAATGAGGATGATGATGATGATGATGATGATGATGATGTTGATGGTGATGATGAGGTTTATGACGATGAGGATTATGGTGATGAGGATTATGATGATGATGACGATGATGATGATGATGATGATGGTGATGGTGGTGATAGTGGTGATAATGCTGATGATGAGGATGATGAGGATGATGGAGATGATGGAGATGATGAGGATAATGAGGAAGGTGAAGAGGAACAGGGAGAGGAAGATAAATATAAATAATAATAACAAGAGGCATCTGATGATGATGCTGCTGTTGATGATGATGATGAGATGAGGATGCTGGTGAGTATGAGGATGATGATGCTGCTGCTGATGATGATGATGATGATGATGATGCTGATGATGATGATGATGACGCTGATGCTGATGTTGCTGATGATGCCGATTATGTTGATGCTGATGACGATGACGATATCAATGACGATGCTGATGATGATGCTGATGCTTATGCTGATGCTGATGCTGCTGCTGATGATGATGATAAGGATGATGATGATGATGATGATGATGATGATGATGATGATGATGATGATGATGATGATGATGATGATGATGATGATGATGATGATGATGATGATGAGGAGGAGGAGGAGGAGGAGGAGGAGGAGGAGGAGGAGGAGGACAAGAAGGAGCGTGGGAGGAGTAGGAAGATGAGGGGGATGGGCACGATGTTCCAGTGCAGTCACAGGGTCGTTCGGGGATCCCTACCCTCTCCTTCTCCCTCCCCCCTGGCCTCCTCCCGCTCGTCCCCCCCCTCCTCCTCCTCCTCCTCCTGCTGCTCCTGCTCCTCCTCCTCCTCCTCCTCCTCCTCCTCCTCCTCCTCCTCCTCCCCCTGCTCCTCCTTCCTCCCCTTCCCTTCCCCCTCCCCTCTTCCCTCCTGCGCATGAGGATTAGGGGGCTGCCTGCACTGGAGTGGAAGGATGTGCTCCGATCCCTCGCCAGGTCGACGTGGAATTCACGGAGCGCTTCAACCGCTTCACGACGGCGTACTACTCGCCGCGGTCCAGGCGGAGCTTCACGTGCTGCGGACGCATCCCGCGTGCGAGAGATGCTTGGGACGTATGCTTCCTGCGTGAGGAGGAGGAGGAGAAGGAGGAGGAGGAGGAGGAGGAGAAGGAGGAGGAGGCGGAGGAGGCGGAGGAGGAGGAGAGCAGACCGTCCCTCCATCTCCCTCCCCCTCCTTGTCACCTGTCCCCTGTCCCCTGTCCCTTCGTCCTCCTCCTCCTCCTCCTTCTCTTGCCTCCCTCCCTCCCTCCGTCCCCCCCGTCCTCCTCGCTGAAGCACCGCGGGTGAGGTGCAGGGTGGGGCAGTGACTCTGTCGCGGTCGCTCGTGGCCTGAGCGCGGCCTCCCTCCCCACGGCCCCCCCGGCCGCCCGTGCCCCCGCGGCCCCTCCCGTGCAGCTGCTTGCCTGGCGCGACCCGCCGTTGCTCGACTGCCGCCCGCCCGCCTGCGGCTGCCGGCCAGCAGATGTTCAGTGCAGTCGCAGGGAGGTGCAGTCGCAGACACAGGGCGCGTTTCGGGATCGCGCCTCCTCCTCCCCCGTGGTGCCCTGTTGTCTCTTTCCCGCCCGCGTCCCCGCCCTCCTTCCTCCTGCCCCCTTTCCGCTTCCTCCTTCTCCCTCCTCCTGTTCCCTCCCCCCTTTACTTTGCCTCCTTCTCTCCTCCGTCTTCCATCTTCCTTCCCCGCTGCCTCCCTCTCCCCTTCTTGTTGCTTTCTCCTTCCTCTTCCCCCTTTCCTCTTGTCTCACTTCCTGCGCCTCCTTCTTCCTCTCGCATCTTGCCTCGTTCATTTTTTGTTTTGTCTCTAAATCATATATCGTCCCTTCTGCCTCCTTTCTCTTCCCTGGCTCCTTACTCTTTTCCCCTTGCCCCTTCTTCCCCCCTCTCGCCTCCTTGCCCTTCCTCTACCTTCTCTTCCTCCTATTCCTCGTGCCTCTTCCAGCCTCTGGCCTCCTCTTGTACTCCTCTTCCTCCTGACTCCTCCGCACCAGCGGACGTGCTGGTAGGGCGTTCCAGGCCTCTCGCTGGTCCCGAAGTGTAGCGATCCCAGCAGTCCAGGGGATGTGTGGCGCAAAGACGGGCGGAACTATAGTTTTGACCGTATCTTGGAGGTCGCAAAGACGACCGCCGCGCCAGCCACCCCACCTCCTCCTCCTCCTCCTCCTCCTCTCCTCCTCCTCCTCCTCCTCCTCTCCTCCCTCCTCTCTCCTCCCTCCCACCCTCCCTCCCTCCCCCCCTCCCTCTCGATCCTTGCTGGGTCGGGCAGGGCTGGGACGGGCTGGGTCGGGCTGGGCCGGGCCGGGCCTCCCCTTTTCCCTCCCTCCCCCCCTCCCTCCCTCCCCCTCCCTCTCGATCCTTGCCGGGTCGGGCAGGGCTGGGACGGGACGGGCCCGGGCCGGGTCGGACAGGGCCGGACTCTCTCTCTCTCTCTTCCTCGTCCCCCGCCCAGTTGGAACATCCAGCTGTCTCCGCGATCTGCTTCCACACCTGCCCCCCAGAATGCCTCCGGCGTCCTCTTGCACTGAGGACTTCTGTCGGGCGGGATTGCCAAGACGGCCGCAGGGGAACGCTTGGGCATTCCTTCCCCCGCCCCCCCCGTCTCCACAGCCACCAGGCCCAAGGGAAGCGCTGCAATTCGAACTTCTTCACCGCTCCAGAGCGCACCTGCACCAGCGCCATGCAGCCAGTGGGGGAGCCAGCGCCCGTCCCTCACCTGCGAGTTCTCGACTACTGGATGTACCACCGAAGCGCCCTGCGCCTGACCCTGCGTGCGGCCGCAACTGCGGACGAGAAGCAGAACCCGACGGGGCCATGTTCCAAGACGTTGTTCAACCACGCGGTTAAGGAGCAATGGAAGCGCATGAGCCCGGACCAGCAGCAGCAGTGGATCGCTGCCGAGGCCTCGGGGGGACCGCCTCCGGGTCAAGTCGCAGTCCACACCGCCCTTGGGGCAGCTGTGAAGGGAGGCCCCACGAAGGCGCCGGAGCAGCCTGGCCCTGCAGCGGGCGCGAAGCCGACGGAGGGCATTGCATCCACTATGGACCACCACTGCGACGGTTGCGGGGCCGCGGGCGTTGCCCTTGCCCCCGGCCAGGGCGACCACACCGAGAAGTACTACTGCGGCGAGTGCTGGCAGCAGTGGCACCAGTGGCACTTGTGCGCCCAGGCGGCAGGCCCCCCAGTGGCGGCCGCTTCAGCTGGCGAGGACACGGGCGAGGCGCCGTGGAAGAAGCACCGCGCCCAGAACGCACCGACCTTCCCCGACACCGAGGCCGCGCTCTCCACGCCAAAGCAGCAGCAGCAGCTGCAGCTGCAGCAGCAGCAGCTGCAGCAGCAGTGCCCGCAGCAGCAGCATCCCCCGCAGCAGCCGCAGGTTCCCCAGCTGTGCTGCTCAGGGTGCGTGTCGGGAGTGGGCCCGCTTGTGAGTGGAGAGGGGGAGCACGCGACGAAGGCCTACTGCCACCAGTGCTGGGAGGAGTGGCGTGCCCAGCAGACCGTGGCCGGCGCTGCGGGCCCCGCCCCAGGCGGCCCGGCTCCGGCCTGGACCCAGGGCCCAGCGGACCCTCACCAGGCCCCGGTGCCCGGGGCCGCCCCCGGGCTCTTCCCCGAGTTCTACCGGCGCGCCCTCCCGCCAGCTGGGGCGGCGGACGTCGGCCAGCAGGACAACAAGAGGTACGACCGCTGGCTGGTGCCCCTCCCAGGGGGCCAGCTCCCGACGGACCGGGACATCCTGTTCTGGGCCTACACGGGTGCCCTGGGAGCCCCTCCGTTCATGGGCCCGGACTCCGAGTGGTCCTACCTTCCGAAGGGCGCGCTGAAGACGGGGAAGACGCCGACCGGCCTCCTGCTCCAGCTCGGCAAGAAGGCGGCGAAGTTGGGGAGCATCCACTTCTACATGACCAAAACGGGGAAGCTTCACCTCTCCGGCAGCGATACTGCAAAGGAGAGAATGATCACTCTCCTAGCAGGATGGACGGTGCCTTGGAACAATGGGGTTTCACCGCCAGCTGCGGCCCCCGGGACCCTCCCGCCGAGGCCGCCCGCATCATGGACGGCACCGTGAGGCGCGGCGCCAGTGCCCCCCACTCTCTGCCTGTCGTCTCTCTCTCCCTCCCCCCCCCGCCCCTCCTGTCTCGATGTGCTGCGATACCACGGGGTGAGTTCGAGGATTTTTGTATAAGGTTCGTGCTGGAGGCGCGGATCCCCTCACCACCCCCGCCTTCCTCTCCCCACCCCCGCCTCTCCCCCCCCTGCCCCGTGCGGGCGCGAGGTCCAGCAGAGTAGTCCAGTATTATTATGGCTTGAGCCGCAGGCGTGAAACACCCCCTCTCCCACTCCCCCTCCCCCTCCCTCCCTCCCTCCCTCTTGGTCCGCTTGGATTGAGCTGGGCCGGGTCGGGACGGGCCGGGCCGAGGCCCTGTGATCCCCGTCGCCCTCGCCGGATGCGGGCTGGAATCCGCAGAGCGCCCGGAGCTCGTCGTCGTCGTCGTCGTCGTCGTTGTCGTCGTCGTCGTCGTCGTCGTCGTCGTCGTCGTCGTCGTTGTCGTCGCCCCCCCCCCCTCGTCCCAGGCCGCCCTGAGCCCGGCCAGAGGCGGCAGGTTTGGGGGGATGCCCGCCCGTTGGGTTCGAACCCGCTTAAAGGGCTGATCCGGGGATCAAGGCATGGCCGGTACGGGCTGGGCTGGGGCCCCCGGGGTCCCCGCCGCCTTCGCCGGGCCGGTGCCTGTCGCCGCTGCTGTCCGCCGCCGCTGCCGTCGCCGCCGCTGGCGTCGTTCGTCGTCGTCGTCGTCGTCGTCGTCGTCGTCGTCGTCCTCGTCGTCGTCGGCGTCCTCCCCCCCCTGTCGCTTTGCCTTCCTCCCTCTCTCCCTCCCTCCCTCTCCCCTGCTTCTCTCCCTCCCTCTTTCCCCCCTCCCTCCCTCCCTCCCCTTCCCTCCCTCCCGTCCTTCCTCCTGGCCCACGCGGGGCCAGGCCGGATTGGACCGGGCCGGGCCGGGCCGGGGCCCACTGCGATCGGCGTCGCTGTCACTGTTGACAGCGGTCTTGGTGCCCTCCCCCCTCTTCCTCCCCCTCCTCGGCCCTCCCTCGCCGTATGGGCCCCTCCTCCTGGGTGCGCGTGCGCGAAGATAGCAGCGCCTCTGCCTCGCGGCGCGCTCCTGGGGGTGGCTCGGCCGTGCTTGCACTGTTTGGGCATGCTTTTGCTGGGCCTGGCCGACGCCCTCATCGCCCCGGCCCCCTTCCTTCCCTCAGCCAGCCGGGCCCAGGTCGCGCCCGCCGCGCCTCTCAGCCCAGAGGCAGGCCTCCACCACGATGCGATGGACGTGCTCCTCGACGCCCTCCTGGATGTATTCCCGCATGCCCGCAGGTTTGGACGGAGTGGGGACCCAGTTGCAGACCCGCTCCTCCAGTTCCGCTGGAAGCAGCTGCGCGACGAAGCCAGCAGGCTCCTCGAGCAAGCCACCAGTTGGGACGCCTTGCAATCCTCGTCAGCCCATGGCGCCCTTCTCAGTGCGTTGCGGTGGGCTGCGCGGCACCTGCCAGGCCCTGGCAGGCAGATTGCGCTCTCCGGGAACTCCGGCATGGAGCCACGGTACGGCGTGAAGATAGCGGTTGGTTCCCCGAGCACTACTGGGTGCCTCTCCATTGACGGGTCGCGGATACTGTGGGGGGTATTCACGGACGCGCGGGTTGGCATTCTGCAGGCCATGAAGCAGCTGGACCTGGCCCTTGTTGGGCTCCCTGGTGCCCGACTTCCCGCCCGCGCATCCGTCCCGGGACGCTCAGACTTGGGTCTTGCCTCGCGCGGGGGCCCCTCTTACGCGAGCGCCGCGGTGGTGTGGGATCCTAATATCCTCCACCGAGTTGCAGAATTGGCCCTTGTCGGCTCGGACCGGCGCCTCTGGCTCCGCCTCGAAGATGCTCATGGTGGCCCTTGGTTTGTGCGCGCGCTATATCTTCCCCCAGTTCCAAATTCTGGAAGGGATTCGGCATGGTTCCAGGAAGTCGCTGG